ATGTTGTCGGGGGTGATGGAACCCTATTTGGAGCCTGCTGAGGACCGTGACGTGATTGACCGACGGCTGAACGCTTTCAGGAAGTATAAGCCGCTTTCTTTTGATGGGTCTCTGGACCCTATTGTTGTAGCGAGATGGCTGCAATCTTTGGACAAGATCTTTCGGGTCATGCAGTGTATGGATCCGCAGAAGCTGATGTTCTCTACTTGCATGCTGGAGGGCGATGCCCATGAGTGGTGGACGAACACCTCTCGTGCTTATGAGATGCAGGGTCATGTTATGACGTGGCCATTCTCTGAGGACTGCTTTTGGGCAAGTAGTTCCCTTATGACGCGCAGGAGAGGAAGCAAGGGGAATTTGATAGATTGGTTCAGGGCTTAATGTCTGTTGACGAGTACCTGGCCAAGTTCAATGAACTTGTGAAGTTCGCACACTTTCGGATGGCGGTGCCTACTCCGATGTTTTTGACTGCTAAGTTCCGCAGAGGATTTAGTGAGGTGATTGCAGAGCATATTACTGGAGCTGCTTCGAGGGATTTTGGTACACTGGTTCAGCAGTGTAAGGACTTTGAGGATGTCTGCATTACGAGCAAGGCCAAGAGGGCCAAGGTTGATGAGACCAAAGGAACGAGTGGTTCCACTTCCTGGAAGGACATGAGGTTTGCTAAGAAAGGCAAGGGAAAACAGTTTGCGACTAGGCAGACGCCTGGTCAGTTCAAGAGGACTTCTCCGCAGCAAGGAAGGTTTGTGAGGCCTCCTTCCACCCCTAGATGTTCGGGTGTGGAAAGGAGCTTGTGGGACGTTGTGCTTCGGAGCAGTTGGTATGCTTTCAGTGTGGCAAGGAGGGCCACTTTTCTAGAGACTGTCCGTCGTCGACGGCGAGAGCTGCAGCTGTTCAGGCAGTTCCATTGCAGATGGTTCCTTTGGCACCTACTTCGGCACCTGCAGTGCCACCTGCTACTGGGCATGTGTACACCATGGATAGGCAGCAGTCGGACCGCACTCCGAGCCTTGTCAGAGGTACTGTGTTTGTTGGTGATTCATCTGTTGATGTATTGTTTGATTCCGGGGCTATACATTTGTTTGTTGCAACCCCGATTGCTTTGGGGCTCGAGTTTCCCACGTCTGTGCTTTCTCCACCATTGCGGGTGACTACCACGACCGGAGAAAAGTATGATGCTACCACTGTACATCGAGATGTCGTGTTTCAGTGGGAGGGCCGTGACTTCTCGGTAGACCTGATAGGGTTGCCGATGGCTATTTTGGAAATCATCCTTGGCGTGGATGGATTGTCCAATAGTTGATTGATTGATTGTTGTGCCTAGCGAGTGGTGATGTCTCCGTGTGATTCCGCAGCTAGTTGCTTGCCGTACATTTCATTGCTGCAGGCTAGGAAGGCCTTGAGAGCAGGGGCTTTCGGATATGTCATGTTGGGAGGTTTAGTGAGCGGGACACAGGAGGATATCACTGGCATTCCTGTGGTGAGGGAATTCCTCGGAGTATTTTCGGAGGAGATTCCTGAGTTTCCACCACAGATGGAGATAGAGTTCTCCATTGACTTGTTGCCTGGTGTGGGGCCGATTTCGTTAGCTCCATATCGGATGTCGCCACCAGAGTTGGTTGAGTTGAAGTAGCGTTCTGAGGGTCTTTCGCGAAAGACTTCATCCGACCGAGCGTGTTCCCTTGGGAAGCACCGGTCATGTTGTTTTTGAGGCAAGATGCCTTACACCATTACTTTAGCGTGATGGTGTTCTGTTTGAGGATGTGAAATTCTCTTCAGAGAAACTGAGTGTGTAACACTTGGAATTTGTGGCAGCGGCCTCGCGCGATCTTGTATATGCGAGACAGTGCATGTACAAATCGTCTGTGAGTTGAGTGGTCTCCATGACTCTAGGATCTTATGTTGATTATTGATATTCTTCATAAGTAGTTCTCATATTAACATCATGGTTAGTGTCAAGCATGAAATGAGTACGATAGATTGCTATAATGTATCAATGTCATTTCACCTTTAATTGAGTTTCGATTTTGCAGAGGCCATGGAGATTGAGGTATACTGTTGCATTTAGTATTCGAATTATTATGTTACTAAGATTGAAAATTTTGCAGGTGTACGTGAACTAAGGTACGTTATTATGTGAATGAATATGCTAAATGACATGTGTTGGTTGAAATGAGTATGATTTTGATTTCATACAATAAACATGAATATGAAGTTATTTTGAAAATAATGATTTATCAAATTGTGAGACTAGTCGATGTTAGAGTCATGGAATAGGACCAAACTCACTCGAGTTTTATGTGGATTCTTGAGTTGTGGGGTTAGGTCACCTCTATTGAGAGAGTGACTAGTGATCCTAGAGTTTTGAATGACGTTTTTGATGTCATTGTGAAACTTTGAGTTTTGTCTGTGACCTCTTTGTTGGGGGTGCACTTCTCGAGATGGAGACTGTGAGAGTCATGAATGAGCTCATGGAGAAGATCCAAGAGACACAAGTGCAGAGAGAGTTCCTGGACTACGTGAAGAACCAAGACGGTGTGCCTTGGAATGAGGATGGACTTCTGTTGTCTCAGAAGCAGATTGTGATACCTCAGGTCCTTTGACCGAAGAGGTAATGGCTGAGGCCCGTAAGGGACAGTTTACTGTTCATCCTGATGCGACAAAGATGTATCAAGACCTAAAGAGAAATTTTTGGTGGCCAAGAATGAAGAAGGACATAGCGGTGTAGATGTCCAAGTGTTTGATTGCCAGAAGGTGAAGATAGAACACCAGAAGCCGTCGGGTAAGCTTCAACCTCTTGAGACTCCAAAATGAAAATGGGAGAGAATTTCCATGAACTTCGTTGTGGGTTTGCCTAAGACTCAGGCTGGTTGTGACTCTTTTGGGTCATCGTGGACAGATTGTCTAAGTCTGCCCACTTTCTCCTGGTAAAGGTGAGCTTTTCTTCAGAGCAGTTGGCCTAACTGTGTGTTCGCGAGATCGTGAGGCTTTACGGGGTGCCCGAGAGTATCTTCTGCGATAGGGACCCAAAGTTCACATCTCGGTTCTGGGAGGCACTGCAGAGAGCTTTTGGAACTCAGTTGAGACTGAGTATAGCCTATCATCCTCAGAATGTCGGACAGACTGAGCGGACCATCCAGATCTTGGAGGACATGCTGAGAGTTTGCACTTTGGGGCAGGGCTCAGCATGGGATAGGTATCTGGCATCGATTGAGTTTTGTGAAATTGTGTTTTTCCTTGCTAGCATGGGCATGGAACCCTACGAGACACTGTTTGGTAGGAGGTGTAGAACTCCTACCTGTTGGTCTGAGGTTGGAGATAAAGAGTTGTTTGTCTTGGACTTTGTCCAATTTACCACCCAGCAGATTCAGTTGATCAGAGAGAAGCTGAGGCAGGCACAGAATCGCCAGAAGAGTTACTATGATGTAAAGCATCGTCCACTGGAGTTCAGTAAGGGTGAACACATGTTTGTGAAACTTTCACTGTCACCGGTGTTGTTTGGGCACTCTGAGGTAACTGAGCCCGCGATTCATTGGGCCATACCAGTTACGTGGTAGACTAGGACCTGTTGCCTACCGGTTTGCCTTGCCTCCGAACTTGGCCAACACCCACGACGTGTTTCACGTGTCTCGACTTCGCAAGTTTGTAGCGGATCCTTCACACGTGGTGCAACCGGATGTTGTGTAGGTTCGGGAGAACTTGAAAACTCCCGTCGGACCACTCAAGTTTCTCGATTGTGGCGAGGAGCAACTGAGGAGCGAGATCATTTCGATGGTCAGAGTACGTTGAACAGGAAGAATTCCTGAAGGGTAATTCTGGAAGCGAGAGGACGAGCTTCTCCGACAGTATCCCGTGCTTCGGGACAAGTATGTTTTCTGATTTTGAGGACAAAATCCTAAAAAGGTGGGGTGAATGTAAGAACTCGCACCATTAATTAAGGAAATTAATAAATTATATATGAGAATTAGGAAATAATTCCATAATTGACCTTAATAATTATTACGAGGCTTTAATAATTATAGCAAGTGAGTAATAATGTTGAAAGTCGCTTTTCTGACAAAAAGTGCAGATACCGGTTCTGCTAGTCGGTATAAATGCGTATCGATAAAGTATCTCAGAAAATTATAAGGAGTGCATGAATATTCCTAGAATAATATGAAGGACTGCGATTTCAAGTTTCAAGTTAAAATAATGAGAACTGATGCCAGAAACTGATACTGGCTATGAAAAGCGCGTACCGGAAAGGTGCTCCGAAAAATATAATAAAAATATGATAATTCTTGTAAAATTGAGTAGGTTAAGAATCCTGAGTTTGGAATTAAAATGCTAAGCGTAGCAACTAAGGTTAATACTATGTGTTTATTGATTATATGACTATAAATACTCATTCTTTGGGCACACAACCCTAGAATTCTGTTGCTACGTGGGTCTTCTTGGTGGTTGACCAGAAAACACTGCTCTATTTCCTTCCTCCACCTCTTGTGAGCCAAGTTGCCATCTTTTACTTGGTTTCTTCATCCTTGAGCTTGCATACACTTGAGAGCTTGCTTGGAGAGGAAGTGTGTAACATCCCGCAAAATCAGGAGGTTAATTAAATTGTCAATAGGAACGTGGAAGCTTGTGGGATTCGAATTCCAAATATCTATTTAGGGTAGACTTGATTTAATTTAGGAAAAATTATTCTAATGAAAATATATGTATTTTAAGAATTCAAAACATTAGTAAAAAAGGGAACATGAAATAATGGTTACTAGTAGATTACATGAGATAAATGACTCATTAGGAAATTATTTAAAATACCATGGTGGAGGTGAATGCATATCATGAATTAAAAGCAACTTAGGTAATTATCCTTTTGTCCAAAAACAAGGCAGCCACATGGCTATCTTACACGCCTAAGAAGTGATAGGGAAATCAGAATGCATGTAATTTTATTGGTTGAAAATAAAGCTAGAACCCTTATCCACTTATCCCCTCCTACACGCCTAGTAGAGGCAAGAAACAACCAAATTCTTTGCTGGCCGTTGGGTGCTAATTGGTGATCAGCTATGCTTTCTCCTCTTCCTTCCCTCAAAGCCGTGAACCCAAGAGAAGCATCACAACATAAGAATCTGCATTCATTCCTTCTTCTATTACTTGCAGAATTAAAGCCAACATCATCATTTTCCTATGCGTCACTTATGGAAACCCCAAAGCTGCCTGCTTATTCACTTCATCCCTGGACCAAACTCAGCCTTAATTCCTCTCAAAATCATGAGCCTCATAGAGGAGGAACACAAAGCATGATTTTGCATTTTCTTCCGTTCATCCTTCCCTCAAACCGTGTGAGCATAGGAGGATAACCAAAGTTTATAAGCACACTCATCTCATTCTTCTCCTTCTCTTGTTCGGCTGCATGTCTACAACCAAGGAGGTGAGATAAATTTTCGTTGCCTCCTTGTTCGTTCACACTTGACCAATTTCTGATTAAGCCTTCCCCTTTTGCTGGAGCATGGTTCTGCCTAGAGTGAGTCGCCTCTCCCATTGCATGTAGCTGGTTCGACTTCTTGGGACATTGGAGAGTGTGGTTTCTGATTAATCTTGGATGCTTGAAGGAAGGTAAGAACTCGGACCTCAAGCTCCTATTTTCCTCATTCGATTTGCATGTGTAACCTAGGGAAATAATTCTTGTTATTCCTACCCTTTTTCCTCACCATTCGGTCCCCTCATGTTTGACAAGGGGGATATTGTATTTTGGTAATTTCTCTTGCCTTGATTCTGCCCTTTGAACCGCCATAGGAGTTGATGCATGTTAATACAAAGCTGAATTTTGTGAACTTGGATATAGCCATTTAAATTGTTGGACTGCCCTTTAGCTAGAAAAATAATTATACAACCTGCATGTTTTAATTCTGTTTGTACAGCCTTGAAATTGGTACTGTAAGTCGAAATTGATGTTTAGGGAACTTGGAAAAATAATCCCTTAATAGTGTGAGAACCGGTCCTTGAGTTATGAAATCTCGTTAAACGTTGCTTGTGCTAAAACTGTATGTACAGCTTGCTTAAGACCTTATTCCCACAACCGCAAGCCTTATAGAAAATGTTATGAAAATAAATTAATTTTGTGCACATGAATTCTGGTCATAAACCGAACCTGTATGTACTTGGAACCGAGGGTTTTGCCTCTAGTTAATTGTTGGTAAAATAAATTCTCAACCAGAAAATGTATGTAGTAAAAGAACCATGAAGTCTAATGTGGACTGGGCTTTGGGTGTGTTTATAACTCTTGTAGTCATCATGTTAAATAACCTGTTAGTTCATGCCTAAGTGATATTGATAGAGTTGTGTTGAATGAAAGTTATAAGCATCTATTCGATGAACCAAGTCTTGAATGCATTAAGAATTATTGTAGACAACATGTCAGATCTCACTATCACCCTCCTAGTCATGTATAACATGTTATGTAATTAAAAAGATTTTAAGCTTCTTGGTAATAGCTGTGCAAACCGAATCTGCCTGTATACGTAGGACTCCTTGAGTGTTGTCAATTGATAACCATTAGTCATGCACCCTTAAATCTGAAAATTTGCTAGTTATGAGCTTTGAAATTTGATTATAAACCAAGTACTAAGAAGGGTGGAAAACACTATATAATGTGTAGAAGAGATAAAATAAATATGCTAAGCACTTAGTAATGATTGAAAACCTAACATGCATGTATTGAATACCTTGGATTTTGTAAATTAAGGACAATTGGTAAATTAATATTACGGCAAAAAATTCTCTTAGTATATGGACCTGGAAACCGATTATGAACCAAGGAGTTAGGAGAATGGGAAAGCTATATAATGTATAGGAAATATATGTGATAAATTCTGACTTGGTACATATGTTTGTTAGGTGTGCTAACCTCTAAAAGAGTGGGTTGATTGGTGATGTTTGATTAAAAATGTTAAAGACTCGAGGTAAGTGTTCGGTGGATTACCCCTTTGTGACTGTTAGTTTAATACTTGAATTTTTGATTTGTTGCTCTCGTGCTCTGTTTTGATTCTGTTGGAAGGCAATTATAATTCGATTTGGAATAAGAACTGTTCGAATTCTGTTTTGGGAAGTATTTATTACTCGGCAGCTTGGTATTAAAAATACAAGAAATATATGTATTATGATTATGATCTAGCCATGCATACACACATCATAATTCATCTGTTCTGTTTGTGTGTGCGAATCATGTCATGGCATACAACATTATGCATTCATCTTGGAAACTGAAGTATATAATAAAAGTAAGCATACGTTTGAGCACGCATCATATAGGCATCCCTCCGGTACCAGGGTATGGGACACTTGGCTTTAGTCCGCATAGGTCCAGTGGAATTCACCTTTGGGAGCCCTATGAAATCTCCACTGTGTTAGTTAGTAGTACGTGCACTGCAGTGCTATGAACGTACATTACTTTGGCGTTATATACGCACTTTGATTAGTATTTTGGCGTTATATACGCACTTTGATAAATATTTTGGCGTTATATACGCACCTTGATAAATATTTTGGCGTTATATACGCACTTGGATTATATGATGGAATATGTTCTGGAACTATTTGATGATGTGACAATTTTGGAAATTCGGTATTTAAATTAACATTGTTGCATTGCTGGATTTTCTGCCACACTACTGGGATTTTTCTCACCCCTTCGGCGGCTCAATTTTTATAAAATTGCAGGAGGACGTAAAAACATTTGATGAAGTAGTATTTTGGATATCTGTTGTTGAGTGCTGCAGTTTTAAAATCATGTTGTTTGTCGCTGTTTATTTGGCTGTGCTGAATCTTGACGTTATGTACTGTTTTGGGGATTGACCAAGTGAATGTAGTATTTTATTTTGGGAACACACAGTAGCTTGATTATTGTATTTGCTAAGACTTGTGAAATTCTGTTATCTTATTTTGGACAAAACAATTTCTGCTGTTTAAATTCGGATTTTGAGATTAAGTTTTCGAGCACTTTGCAAGTTCTGTTTCTGGGGCTACATACATCCGATTGGAGTATAATTTATATGCACTTAAAGCCCCAGGTGTCTATTTTCATATTATATAAAGTTTGTGTCCACAACATCTAAGCAGATTTTTATGATTTTTTCAAGTCAGGTAGTTTTGGAAATATTTTCACTCATTTATCTCTCACCTTGCGAGTTCTGTTCCGGGAGCTACGGGACTCCGAATGAGCCATAATTTATATGTACCTGAAGCCCCACATGTCTAGTTTCAGATTATATAGACTTTACAATGAAATTCTGAAAGCTCAATTTATTATGATTTTTGCAGCCAGACAGGTTTTCAGGAAAATTATTATTTCAGTAAGCTATGTTATTTTATAAAGTTGCACACTGTTTTCAAGAAAATTTAGAGTTGTGCAGCGAAAGTTTTCTTTTAAAATTACTTGCTGATTCTATCTTACGAAGCCAGTCTTCCAGGTGAAAGATTGAATTAGTATCATCAAAATGTTCTTTTTCATAATAAGAATTTTATACGATAACGTTGCGACTCTAATCGGTTTTAGCAGACACTTCTCTTGGATACGTACAGGGGAGGGTGTCACAGAGTGTGAGTGTATATTCTGAGTTTCCAGACACTGTGAGTGGGTGTGAGTGCTGACCTTGTGTTGTTTGGGTGTTGGGAAGCCATGGTCATGGCACTTTGAGATCCAAGTGGTGACCTTTGGTAAGAAAGTACCAACCTTGATCATCATTTTCGTTTTTCCTTGGGAAGTCAGAACTTGAGGAGTTGTTTGGTGAGCTCCTTGAGCCATTCTTACTGAGTTTTGAGCTTTGGTAAGCCTTACAACCTTCAATCATGAGTTTAAGTGCTTAAAAATGGAACCTTGATGCATGTGACAAGATAAGATGATAACCACACGTTTGGGTAATGGTTAACACACTTAGAAAGGCATGTTTAAGCTTCTGTAATCGAAAAAAGTTGGACCTTTGGTTTGGATTTTCACGAAATGCAGAATCTGGGTTCTGTCGTGAAATATTCGGATATTTGGTTGGGAATATCCGGATATTGATATCCGGATATGGGGATCTGGATATTCGGATATTGATATCTGGATATAGCCAGTGAGATATCCGGATATTGATATCCGGATATGCCCCCGACATATATCCGGATATTCTGGGATTTCGAAGAACAGTAGCTGCATTGTTCATACAGTAGGCTATTGGGGGTTTGTGGACCCTAGATTGATGAGGTTGAACTTTTGTTTTAATTGAACTAAGTCATAATCAAGTGGTTAAGGGCTTATGGCTTTGTGTGAAGCTTTAAGACATAAATCGTAAGAGGAAAACGTAGTCTTTATGTTTATGCTTATGAGCTATGAATGGTGATATGCTTGCTGGTCCTAATCAGATTGTGATCTGCTGTGTGTTGGACTTGAGCTGTGTGGACTCTTGGCAGTGGATAGTGAGCTTGCAAGGTAAGCTTTCGTGTCCTCTGTTTAGCCATGTTGTGGTTCCACCATGTCCCATGGGGGTATGGTTATATGCATGCTGTGTTACTTGCTTTTGATGTTTTAGAAATGCTATTAAGCTGTTATATGTTAGTGCCTTTATGATATGCATGTGGTGTTCAACCTATACGGTAAGCCTGAGTATGTAGTACATACAATATGGTGAGGCTGTGGGTGAGGTGCAAGCGGTGTTCCATGTACTATCTGTAGGTAATAGACGTATTCCTGCATTTCTCTGGCCAGTAGAATAGTTTAAACACACATGGTATGAATATCTGTTGCACTGCATAGTTTTGAGAACTCATATTGAATTACTGTTTTTAGAACTTATATTGCACATGTAATTGAGCTTGGGGTGGAAGATCCTTGAGGACCCCTTGTCTTACTGAGATTTCTGGTTTAGAGATCTCACCCCACGTTTGGGGAATGCTTATTTCAGGTTCAGGTAATGCGGGGGTTGAGACCTCTAGTGGCAGGAGGCCAGAGCTTAGCTGATAGATGTTACATGTTTATGCTGCTTTGCTGATATACTGTTATGATTGGATGTTGGATCCTGTTTACTGTCTTATGCTTTTAGCTTCAGTTTATGGATTTATATGTTGAGACTTTGTTGGTTATTCTGTTGATTGGTGAGCATGGGGATTGTCCATGCCACGTAGACTTGTTTATTGTCTTGTTTAATTTGGAGTTGTATTAATGTATCAGGATATTGTTCGGACTATGTGTAGTAGATCTGTGACATAGATACTCACTTTATCTATATATTGAGGTATTTCAGTTAGATGTATTTTTGCAATTTACATACAGGCGATATTGTATGAAATTGATTAAGTAATCAACTTGGCTAAGTATAATGACGTCATAATTGAAAAGAAAAAGATATTCCGCATTTTTAATTAAGCGCAGCTTAATACGATGATATGTTAACAAATCGGGTATACACGGGGTGTTACAAAAACAATCTAGAATTTGTTTTGTTTTCGCTTAAAATAGTCCGTGGTATGTACTTGTTGAAATGATTGATGCATTTTTTCCCCTATAAGCTGGCAAAAAAATTTAAATAATGCTTTTTAATTAAATATTTACGTATTTATTGCAGTTTTGAGAATAATTACACATTTATTGCACAATGTGACGCCCCATTGAGGCGTCTAACCCTATGGGAAGACGCCCTAATGGGGCGTCTCATGTGTGCCCTATGTATACCCCTTTTTTACCATTTCACTTCTCACTATTTCACCTCTCTCTAACCACGGTTTGTGGTCCCGACCGAGCGCGAAGATTTTCGTAGCGAAGTTCTGCCAACTTAGGTAAGTTCGTAATACCTGCTATGTATACGTTTAAATTACAATGCTACCTTGCGAACATGTTAGGATTTATCGTATATTAAAAACTTAGAACATTAGGATAGTCACTTAGAAATTTTGTACCATGCTATGAATGTTGTAATGATATAGTAATTTTTTTGTTACGTAGTTATGATTATTAATACATATTTATGATGTTATTTTGTGATAGTGATTTAGAAAATAGTGATAGTGACTTCGTAAATTTTTTATGATATTATTAATGTGAGAGTGTATTGATAATTTTGTAGTCAGTTAGGTGTGATGTTTAGTATATATTTATTAAGTTATTAGTGACTTAGGGTTAAGTATTATGTCAGTATGATTTAATTTGTGTCCGATGTTTTATTATAATTTAATTACAAATAAATGACTGTACTACGTATTAATAATATTTCATTAATGTCGATTCTAGTAAAAACGTAGGGTTTATACTTAATTTTGTTGATAATAAATTAGGGCATTTCTTAATTAATTAGTACATAAAATGTGTTGTTACATGTGATTAATTTCATTGTTGTTTTATATTATGGTGAGTTTAGGGTCATGGCTGATTCATCATCACCTTCGGGTTCTGCATCGGATGCAGAGCCTACTGATCCTAGCATGTACATCATACCTGGGCCTTACAGATATGATGTCCTTCGTAAGAGGACGCAGTGTGCCCATATTTCACAACGAGTATGGAATACGGAGCATGTGAGGAGACTGAAGACCAGGCGTGGCAAACCACAGGGGGGCCACCTACCAGGGCTATTCCAGAGGTGGTCACAGACTACCTCACACAGGCTGGATTTATCCATGTTGCCCGGATGCGATATATCCAGGTATGTGATTTACGACGTATTGTATTTATGTAATTATACAATACCATTCGTCAACACGTGATAATTGTATAATTTATTTCAGATCGATGCCTCATTAATTAGTGCTCTGGTCGAGAGGTGGAGACCAGAGACACATACATTCCACATGACGCAAGGTGAGATGACTATCACCTTACAGGATGTGGCCGACATATTGGGATTGCCCACTGATGGTATTGTCGTTGTCGGATCTACAAATGAGGATTGGCCCGTTGTTTGTGCTGCTGCTTTTGGCGCGGTTCCAGAGGCCAATGAGTTCCATCATTCAGGTGACCTCCGCATCTCATTCTTAGATCGGTTATATACCCGGTGGACTGATCATGCTGGGGATCATGATCGCGAGATATATTTCACAAGGGCGCACATTGCCCACATGTTGGGGTGTTGGTTGCTGGCGGACAAGTCTGGAGGTAGCAATATCGGTTGTCAGCTAGTCCCATTGCTTGTGGGAAGATTTGATGAGATTGGCCGTTTCAGCTGGGGATTTGCGGTTCTGGCACACTTGTTCAGGAATTTGTGCGAGTGTATAGATGTCGGTCGATCTGACATGGGTGGTTGCCATATTCTTCTTCAGATTTGGGCATGGATACGATTCCCATCCATTGCTCTACCCCTTCCTCCTTATCCAGAGCCAGACACGTATTATGGACCTCCGACCTTCAAGATCGTAGGCACGCGACCACTTTTCCTTAGGGATGGCATCAATCCACTCAGCAATTTGAGGACTACTTTCATGGAAGCTCGCAAGATTCCTTTCAAAATCAACTATGGCCGGAGTATAGCCTGCACGAATTGGACATCATCGATTTAATCATAAATAGAGACAAATAATGGAAATAAATAAATACGGATCTATGAATGAGTTTACCTAAGTTCTTCAACATCCGCTTCAAACCCTCATTCCGAAAATTTTGATTGAAGTTGCTTGCAATATGACGAATACAAAAGACGTGATATGTATTTGGTGGCAGCCAATTAGGTTTATTCTCCACAGTAGATATTATGATACGATGACGATCAGAGATAAGGCATATGTTTGACATGTCAGTAACATGAGCACGAATATTAACAAGGAAATAGTCTCATGCTTCCAAGGTTTCACCTTCAACGATGGCAAAAGCGATCGGTAAACATTCATCATTTCCATCTTGGGCTATGGCCACCAACAATTTGCCTTTGTACTTCCCATACAAATGCATTCCATCAATCTGGATGACTGGTTTGGCAAATTTGAACGCCTCACAACACTGTCTAAACGTCCAAAACATGCGAAGAAACACCTTTTTTCCAGTAACTAACCCATGCTCCGCATAAAAATCATTTGTTTGAATATGATAAAATGAACCTGGAGAAAAGCGAAGCATGTATTCGCACCACCTTGGCAAAAAAACATATGATTCCTCCCAATCACCGTACATAATTGCATCGCTTTCTGCTTCGCATACCATGCCTTTCTGAAGGAAACTTTAAACCTATATTTAGAGGTCATCCTTTCTTGAAACAAAGAAATTGAGACAGATGGTTCTTCCCTTATCATCCCTGCATTGAAAAGGTCACGGACTCGATAACATAGAACGAATTTAATGACACAACAGTATGTAAACGTTGACATGTCATTGAAAATAAATACGTACCTATAACGAGATCCGCAATAACGTCTGCATCGAGCTGTCTATGTCCCTGGGAAATGTGCTCATTCAAACAAGTGTGATCTCCACCCAATTTCGTAATCTTCCAATTTTCACCAAACATTGGTTTGATCGCCCTAACGCGCCACGGGAAACCTTTATCGTACGCACAACATTTAATGGATAACTTTGCAACCGTGCTCTCAATTACAATTGCTTCTTGATGCTCCCTAATCAGGTTGTGCTTAAGTGCCATTTGGACATCTTTTTTTGTTGCAAATTCTTGGTTCACAAATAACTTGTCTCCCAGTTGCCACAGACCTTGTATTGAACCCGATCCTGAAACCGTACCATCAGTGCATGATTCTTGTTCACTCCGATAACTCCAATCAATGTACGAATAATGTGGAATTCCTTGCCAAAAGGGAATAACAGCTTCGTCACCTGCATCTGATAATTAAAAGTTTTTAATACAAACTTCCTAAATCAGATATTAAATCAGGTATCAACTCAAGTATATACAAATTATATCAATTACCTTGATGATTACGTAATGGAGTAGACACAATGTCATGAAATTGCGGCATTTGTGCGACCACCGGTTCATGGTAGACTGGGATTTGTGACGCACCCATCTCACCACCTTCATCTCCATCTGAAGCACTAGCATCCTCCTCCAGAAGACGTTCTTCCATTGTGATGTTTTCATCATCGTCGTCGTCGTGCATTTCCCAAGTAGGATCATTCTCATCTCCCTCAGAAAAGTTTCCAACTGGAGACGCATGAGTGGCAGACATTGATGGAAGACGGGGAGAATTTAAATCAACTGACCTCACCGGTAATGGAACATTCTCCGCTGCGGCGATGTCGATATACAACTCCAGAAAATCTGTCCTTGACTGGTTGAAAAATTCTTCCATTGTCATCTCAACATCTTCATCGTCAACCACTTGCAAACTAATGTATTTATCACATTTCCATAACCTTGTCGTGATCTGAGAGATACATTGGTTGGCTTGAAGACTTAACTTCTGCCGAATTCTCTGATGCAGTTCGCCAATGGTTGCATTGCGTTGGATACGTGTCAGCCTTTTTTCACCTTCAAACATGACACCTCGTCGACCTTCTACCTTCCTTCCATTGTAATATAACACAACACGAGCAGAATTAGGATTTGAACTCATTCTTAAATAGAATAAGAAATAAAATTCAAATACTAAATTAAAGATGAAGGATTATGTATGTATGATGTTAGGAATTTTGGTAGAGAAGAGATATAAGATGAGAGAAGAGGTGTGAAGAGTTTGTAAGAGTGGAAGGGGAATATATAGGGTGCGCAATGTGACGCCCTAATGGGGCGTCACATGTGATGCCCAAAAGGGGCGTCACATTGTGCAGTAGATCCGTAATCATTTTTAAAACTGTAATAAATGCGTAATTATTTTATTAAAAAACATTAAATTAATTTTTTTGCCCCTGTAAGCTAGATAGCTAAATAACCACTTATATGTTATTCCATTGTTTAAGCCCCTTGAGCCTTGGCCTATTTGTTCTTGATGACCTATAATTTTGAATAGCCACTATATATATATATATATATATATATATATATATATATATATATATATATCATAACCTAATTTAGATTGGATTTTATAATTAGAGAGTGAGGATTGAGCGCCATTTTTATAATTGAATTGTTGATATATGAGAGATAACGATGAAAAGGGAAAAAGTCAATAACATATATATGATGTGGTTAAATAAAAGAGAGAGTATATATAGTAGAACAAAAAGAAAGAAAAAGAAAGTCTATTTATTGCAGAAGTATTGTGTTTCATGAATAAAAGGGTGTGAAAAAATTCAAAGGAGGAAGAATCGATAAAGAAAAAATGTATTATATAATGATGTTTATTATTCCTCTTTGATTCTGACTTCTAATCTTGTAGCTATGTGTTTTTTTTGCAGCATTTCTTTCTTTCCCTTTAGTCAGGCCACATTATAGCTTTAATAAAAGACCTCTTAATCTATTTTGTATACCATTGAGACTATGGAGAGTGACAATATAACCAAGTTTATGGTAGTGTTGATTCAGTGAAGTATGAGTGAAATACATATAGGGGAGTTCAAAATGTCCAAATGAACCAAACCGATCCATAACCAAACTGTTCCACATCTTAAAAATTGGTTATTTTTAAAAACCGGTTTCATATGTAACTGCATTTTATTTTTTAAACTGGTTATTTACCAAACCATAAAAAAAATTGGTTATCCATTGTTATCCATAACCAAACAACTCTATAATTAAATTCCCTTATTCTCTCCTCACTCAATCAAGAATAAAACAAGAAAGCTTTCATTGCGTTATTCTTCTTCGCGCTCTGCAATACGTTCTCGATTGGTTTCTATGGCGGATGTTCAGATGGGCGAAGGCATTCCAAGCCGAGATAAACCAACTACTCAGCCTTATCATCAACACCTTCTACAGCAACAAGGAAATTTTCCTTCGCGAACTCATCAGCAATGCCTCCGATGTGAGTCCTTGTTCTTCGGATTGTGAATTTTGTTACTGTTTGCTTTATTAGGATGCAACCTTTCAATTTACCCGATAAAAATAATTGGTTATGGATAACCATGATAACCAATTATTTTTATGATTTGGTAATAACTAGTTTATAAAAATAAAATACAGTTTCATATGAAACTGATTTTTAAAAATAATCAGTTTTTAAAATGTGGAGCAGTTTGGTTATGGATTGATTTAGTTCTTTTGGATATTTTGAACACCCCTACCCATACCTTCTTCCATCAGTTCAAATGAAACTCTTAGCAATTTTTTTATAATTTTAAAATAATTCAATTGTTCTTCTACCAATCACTTTAAAAAACAACGTGAAACAATTTCTATAAGAATCATTTTGTCCGGAGAGTTCCAAAACAATGAAGATTCTTGCAAGAAATAGTTGGTCAACTACCTATATCCGGGAGAAACAAACGACTACTTATAAAAATAGCACAATCCATCAAAAACTATTTTGAATTTGTTAAAAAACTGTTTTTGAACTTGATAACCGATTTATTGTTCATAACCGGCTTTGAATTAAAACCTATTTAAAACTGGTTTTAAATCAAAACCGTTTATAAACCATAAACCGGTTTTGGATAGAAAATTAAAAACCAGTTTTAAAAGAATAAAACCGGTTCGGTTCGATTTTTTTGTTAAAATCGGTTATGAACCGCTCCATGCACACCCCTAAATACATACCTTCAGACATATGAGTATAAGTGAATTTACCTTCAGATTGGGATGCAGAAGAGGGACCCCAAGATATGTCTATTCAGGCCGTGTAGAATTTCTCCTTATAGTTTTTTCACTGTATTTGTATATGTAAGTTTACATGGTTTGTTCCATGTGAATTGAAACTATTTGCACTTGATGATGGATATTTTTGGTTTTATAAATTTTTGTCTTTACTTCCTGAGATGCCTTCAAGTTTTTTTTACTTTGACTCTTCTTGTGTAATCTGATCTCCCTATTTTGGGTGTTTTTATGCTCTTTTAACCTTCCATTGACAATAACTTGTTGAATCTTCAGAGTTTCCAGCGCTTTTGTGAGTTCCACCTGTTTCCAATGCTCCAAAGCATGAAAACATGTTTCTCTCTCTCCCTTCAGTAATCTTCAATCTCAATTGATCAAAAGCTTCGTAGCTAATTTTCTTTGTAGTGAGGGTTAGATGGAACCCTATTGAATCTTTATATTTCTGAATTAATTTTTAATGCAATTTCCCCTTTCTATATTGAATGAATTTTCCTGTTCTTCATGCTTCTATGAGTCAATCTTCTTATAGACTGATCTAAGGTTTATGTATGACAATATAATTGTTGGTATATGAATCGGGGTTGTAAATTCATCATTGATTTGTATGAATTTACGGATAGACATATGAATTGGGCAATCCTTATACCATTTTTATGATTATTGATTATAATGCTTAAATCCTTTTGAGAAGCATCAAGAAATTATGATTCTCTTAAGGGATTAAAGGGTTAGAATACCAAGAGATTGAATTTTAACTAAATTAGATGAATTAATTGACAATATAAAAAGTGCAATTAATTAAAGTTTTAATTCAGAACATAAAGAGAAGATTGAGGAAAATCAAATCTAAAACTACGCTTTTCTTGATTGCTTGAATATTTGATTTTGCATTTTGTTCTTGTTTTTATTTTACTTATTAATTAATTTTAAATCAAATCTCTCATTTGAATTGTCCAACTTAAATAAAAATAATAAACTAGTACTTGGAACACTAACTTCTTTATTACCAGGGGCGGACGCAGGAATTTTAATGACGGGGGGCGAAAATAAAAAATATTATATTATAAACAAAAATATTTAAAATATAATATAGATCTAATATAAAAAAAATAAAAACAATCTATTACAAAGATTAAGATCACTTCATTTGACTCTTATTTTATGTATTTTCTTATTGTTAAACTCATATATAATTGATCCGTGTTAAAACTCAAAACAATTTCTTTTTTATTGTATGTAATCAAAGAATCATCAAGAAATTGGTCTTCTATTTTATTTCGAAGTTTGTTCTTGATTTTATTTTACGCATGCAGATCCTGACTTTTTTCTTTCTTTGTAAATGTCAGAATCCACATGTGTAAATATGTTTGCTACAAAAAATTTCATATGTTATTACTGCAGAAGAGGCGAACCTATAAATAAATCATGTTATCCATTATCAATAAATTAGATACCCACAAAGTTATATATGTACTTTCATTCTTTTTATAGCTAAATTTGTTGGAAATTTAAAGAGATTAAGAATAATTTAGAAGAACACACAACAATTTTTTAATCTCACAATCCCTGTTTGGTAGGAGTTGAAAAAAAAAATTCCTAGCAAAATGATTGGAAAATTATTTGCCTATGTTTGATAGGAGGTAAAGTAAAAATATGGTTGAGAAATTTTTTTTCCCATAATTTGCTTTTCTATGTAAAATAGTTGGAGAAGATTACTATTGAAGGGTGGAATTGTTTTTTTCCATGTGGTGGGAAAATTAACACACAACATCATTAAAATTAACTTAACATTCCCCGAAAAATTTTGGCCTACCAAACATCTTTTAGTAACTTACCCAGAAAAAAAAATTCGCATCATATTCTCGGAAAATATTTTTTTCGATAAATTTTTTTTCCTTCTCTAACAAAATGCCTCATTTAAGTGCTACGACACTCTCTTTCTCTGTTTTCACTATTTTTTGTTTTCTTCTTGCACACTCTTGTTTTTTCTTTTTTGAAACATATAACCTAAATTTTGGCAAATGAAATACCGAATCAAGCCCCCCACTTTTTAATATTTTAATCCTAGAAATATTTAACTTCTCTTTGACTTCTTCATAATCAAAATCGTCCTTGACTTTTCAAACTAGTATAATTAGGAGAAGCTGAATGAAAAATGAAAATGCAAAAGCTGAACCATTTTCTTAAATTTTACCCCAAAAGAAGGTAAGAGAGGTTGAGACGTTATTAACTATCACTGAAAAGTGAAGAATGAGGAGGTACTTGAAGAGTGTTTCAAGATTGAGTCCAACGTCCCCCTTCAATGAAAAATTCTTGTGCTTCCTATTCAGTTGTCTTTTCTTGCAATTGCAGGCTCAACAATTTTCAGAAGTTTGATTTGAGCCGTTGGGGTTTTGTGCTTCCTCTTCTTCATGCTCACGTATGTCAGTAATTTATCCACTCACACACATTTTATAATATTATTAAAATACAATTTAT